ATATATTTTAACTACTGCGTGCAGAGCCAGTTAGTTCAAGTTTGGCTTGTCTTGTGTTGCAGATTTATTTGACCACCATTATGACCAATTATGTCTGTGAGCGCACCCAGTAGACATCTTAGGGTGGGTGGAGCATTCTGTCTTAGGATCTACAGTAGTGTCGTGGGTTTTGTTCGATTTCCACCTCGGGGGAATAATTCATCATTCTCGAATGGTATTATCACTGTTTGCTTTTTCCATTGCCTTGCTACCACATGTTACTCACCATATACACCCAACAACTGATATGTTTTAATTTCACACCTTGGCACCGATTGGGGAGGCGGGAAATACAAATGCCTAACTTTCAATCTTGTTAACAACACGGTAAATCATTTTTCAGTTTCACGTAACAACAATGTGGAAAGCGATTTGTCATTTTCACGTAACAACAAGGGAAATACATTTTCATTCACGTAACAACAGGGATACGGGAAATGCAATATTTTCAGTTCAAGTAACAACAAGGGAATGTACATTTTCATTTCACGAACAACAAACAACAGGGGAAATACATTTTTCATTTCACTGAAACAACAAGGGTGAAATACATTTCATTTCACGAATAACAACACGGTAAACCATTTTTATTCAGAACAACAAGGGAAAATGCATTTTATTTTTCATTTCACGTACAACAAGGGAAATACATTTTCATTTCACGTGAACAATCAAGGGAGAATACATTTTTATTTCACGAAACAACAAGGGTAAATGCATTTTTTCATTTTTAACGAAAACACACGGTTTAAATCCATTTTCTTTAACGCTAACAACAAGGGAAGGCATTTTTGCGTTTCAAGTAACAACAATGGAATAAATTTGTCATTTCACGTAAACAAACAAGGGAAATGCAATTTTTTCATTTTTTTCAAGTAAACAACATAGGGAAATTACATTTTTCATTCACGAAATCAACCCACGTGGTAATGATATCATTTTTCATTTCACGTGTAACAAACACGTGTAAATCCCTTTTTTATTTCACGTACCAACACTGGTAAATTCATTTTTCATTCAAGTAACAACTATGCTGGTAAATCCATTTTTCATTTCACGAATCAACAAGGGAAATACATTTTTCATTTCACGAAACAACAGGGAAAACATTTTTCATTTCACGAACAACCGGTAAATCCATTTTCATTTTCCACGTAAACAACACGGTAAATCCATTTTTCATCTGCACGTAACAACACTGGGTCTAAATCCATTTTTCATTCACGTAATCACACGGTTAAATACATTTTTAGTCATGTTAGACGAACAACACGGCGTTCCAATCCATTTTTCATTTCACGATAACAACACGGTAAAGCCATTTTTCATGTAACGTAAAACCACGGTGCAAACCAGGGGCAGGGCGGACGGGGAACACACGGGGAGAGTTGTTTTTGGGTCAAGTAACATTTTTTTATTTCACGAACCATACCAGGGATGTTTCTGTATACATACAACAGGTGTGATAACATGGTAGTAAGGTCTTATAGTGAAATCTCAGAGAACCTGTGTCATCCCTAAGTATATGTACTTACACCGTACTTAGTGATGTAGAACCTCCAAACAAAGATGACGTTTGAATGTGATAGAAGACGATAATTGCTATGGGGCAACGACTCCCTCACCAGCAGACCCCGACATTGCCTGGCCACTCCGGAGCGGGAATCTGGTACGTGAGTTTTTGTAAGCTGTGGACACACTGTGTAGACAGTCCGGCCTGAGAATCATACAAACGCTCCGAGGAGAGTAACCGCCTGGACATAGTCATCCTGTTGCGTGTGTGATTAAAACCAGAATGGCATTTTGGCGACTGCTTAAACGGAGCAGTTCAATTTCCCCCACATATTTTGGAAGTTGGTGGGCGAATTAGACGAGCAGTTCTATAATTTTGTATTTAGAAAGAAGTTCAACTTTCGTCCTTTTTGTGGTTTGTAGTACTGTGGTCCCCCAAAATCATGTACAAAAACAATACGGTATGTGCTAGTGGCAGGAAGGTGAAAACTTAGTGAAACCCTTGCCTTTAGACTGACTAGGTTGGCTCGATTCGATCGCCAAACGGGCACTCTTACTGGCTATTCTAAAACAATACTGTACAGTGCAAATCCTCCGAAAAGGGAAAACCTAGGGTGACATTGAAGCCATAATTCAGAGGTTGTCCTTTGATCCAGATCATTCATTTCAGTACGGTACAGACAGCACTACCAAATACACGCTCAGCAAAACCAGAACATATTTCAGACAACTTACAGGCGCCGGTGCACTCGCTTCTACTATTGCTGGTAATGAGGACGGTTTACCTGAAAGTTTGCCACAGAAGAAAACCCGAAGAAGATTGCCAGTCCGACGATTTTAAACCAATGAAATGAAGAATTTGAACGGAGACACAAAACGTGGAGACTGCGTGGCGTTTAGATATGTATGGACCGACTGGTAGAGAAGTATTACTATTAGGAGTCTTGTGTGGAGAGGGAGGGAGGAGGAGTGAGGGAAGGGAGGGAGTGGAAAGAAAGTAAACAAGAAAGAAAAGAGAAGGTAAATATAATCGACGAGAGCGCAAATAAGAGGGCTGATAAAGGTGCAAAAGGACGAGGTTTGGTTTGAAATAGCATAGTGATAATCTTAATAAGGAACCGTATTGGGGACAGTGAATGCTGAAAGCGTCCTGTATCGGATGCAGTTTGTATACACAAATGTTATTAGTATGGGCAGAACCCAGTTGCCCTTTATAGAGAGGTGGTGTCTTATTCAGAGGTGTCACTGATGTGAATTGTGATAGCGTACGAAAAAAGGACGGCAGTGTTGCAGATGAAAGAAAAATAACCCAGCTTCAGGTGGTTTTCCGCCCAGTATCACTGGAAGAGGGGGAAGACGGGAGAGAGTGAGAGAGAGCAGAGAGAGGGAAGGGAAGAGAGGGAGAGATGATGAGAGGGAAGGCAAGAGAGGGAGAGAGAAGATGAGAGAGAGAGGGAAGGAACAGAGAGGGAGGAGAGGAGAGAGGGAAGGAAGTTAAGAGAGAGGAGAGAGAGAGAGGGAAGGAAGAGAAAGAGGAGAGAGGGAAGGAGGAGAAGGCGAGAGAGGAGAGGTGATGGAGAGGGAGGATAAGAGAGGGGATTGAGAGGGAAAGGAAGGGAAGGAGGGGGTGGGAGGGAGAGAGATGGGGAAGAAGAGAAAAGAGGAGAAAGTGAGAAAGAGGGGCGTAAAGGGGAGAACAGGGGGGAAAAGGAGAGGGAATAGACCCTAAATGTGCAAGGTGAAACTAGTGGATCAAAGTTGACTGCGTACAGACAAACTCCAGGAGGTACTAACAAAAAAAACCAAAAAAACAAAAAAAAAGACAACAATACAAAAACACAACAAACAAACGTTCTGTTCCTTATAAAATAACACAAAATAAAACAAAAAATAAAACAAAAAAACAAGCAAATAACAAAACAATTACAAAATACAAAACAACAAGCACTCGAATAAGTAAACTTTGCAAGAACCCTAATTTGTACTGGAGCAACAACAATCTATATACCACGTTTAAAACAATTTGGGAATGTACAACCACACAATGGTGTTCCCATAAACTTGAGCCCCTGTACACACAACTACAGCAAACAATAGTAGTTCCAAAGTCAAACTACCTGATGTAGGGCCAGTAGGGAGTCACGTGATTGAGTGCAACTGAAATGCAATACCTGTGTGCGAAAAGAATCAATGTTATGATATCCACACACATGCGATTACTAAACATAGCTAATACACAATGTTGTTTAGCTAGCTAATGTGCAGCACAAAACAAAAAGCCATCCCAATAGCTAACAGATCGTATTGCCACAACAACATACCCGCACAGGTGCGCGGCAGTGAGAAAAGAGCGGGTGTGTAAACTATACACTCGCCTGGGAAACTAGCTAGTTTTCGAAGGTACATAGCTACTTGACATAGCTACTCACGTCAGCAAGAAGCCGAGAATTGTCAGGCTGGCGAAGATTATGAGTAGCAATTCCACCCCAAACCGACCCATTTCCTGCACTCTTTTTCTACCAGAGATCGACGCTGGGCGGCGCGGGAAACGTCGCCGACGTGACTAGGGGTGGAAACTGAAAAGCTCTTGTTTTTCCTGCTTGTTTAGCGCACGCGACTGGCGGGGATTCCCCGGAAATGCGTGCATGCAAAAAGGGGGCGTAGCTGGTTGAGCTGGTGTGTCGTCCAGGGGAAACAGTAGTAGTTAGACGATTATGGAGGAAGTCGGTAAGTAACGCAGGTCACTCTTTCTGTCCTAGACGTAGTACGTAGCTGCGGATACTAATATTCCGAGCCTCATAATGAAGAACACCTCTCTACAAAGGAAACCTGATTCTTCCCTGTAATACTTTCAATGTCACAAGGTGCCCAGTTTAATGTATCCCCAGACCCACGTGTGTGCTTTATGTCATCACGACTTTATTATACCATGAGCTACAACATATTATCCCTTCTAACTCAATCGTAATGTCGTTTCTCTAGGTTTCAAGGCTGGGGAGGAGGTGGCGTTTGGCAGTGGAGTAGAGAGACTCATGTTTCCAGTCCACACGTCACCCACGAGACTTGGAATAGAACAGGGACTTCGTGGAGAGCCTCACAGAGGACCTGGCTGCTATACTGGTGACCTGGTATGCTGGTGTACTTAGGATTCACTTTTATAAGAGATTAATGTAAAGAAACACTGCAATCAGGGGGAAAAACAGAGCTTTTGACATAGAAGATTTGCTATTGGTTAGAAAGCTTGCTATTAGGAAGACTTAGTAAAGGATCATAAACGGTGTGAATATCCAGTCTTAGTTGGAGTTCATCAAACATACATTACATAATGAGCACTTGACCACTTCGAGAATGAATTTAAATGCACTGGTGCAACTTGGAGAATGAATAAAAAAGGACTTGCACTTCGAAAGAAAGAAAAAAAAGTAAAAAAAAACCACTCCACTGGACAAGTTGGCCAACATGCCCAGTGAAGCGGGGGCACTCAGTATTGTCAAACAGAGAGTGGGTAAGGGGAGGAACCAGAGCTGTTCCCAGCCAGTGCTCTGGACCACCTACCAGCTTCCAGCCCGGGATCGATCTCTCGACCACCGGAACCTTTATACTGGTAGTCCCCACTTCTACTGATTGCGCCACATGAGTGACCCGAGAGCAGTAGTTGAAATTTTGCCTTATACCCACCAGTACGTGAGGTTGAAAAAAGAAAAAGTAGTAGTTGACAGGCCTGAACCCAGGTAGCAGGAAAACCGTGTTCCACTTGCAAGAGCTTTAGCCACTAGACCATCAACTCATGGGAGTGTGTGATATGTAGCATCCCTACCAGGCTCGAATTCACTGGTAACCCACGTATTATAAAGGCCAGCCACAATTTACACATCCTTAGTCTTCTAAATTTCTTATAGGCACAAGAGTGGGAAAAGAGACAAACCAACTATCTTAATACTTTTACTAAGGTTTTAGTATGGAACGGTAATTTCATCTATCTCGCGCAAATTTCGCAAGTCTATCCCCCCTAAATAAGGGTGTCACAATTTCGCATTTTTTATAGGCACAAGAGTGGGCGAAGAGAACAAACCAACTTTCCCTAATACTTTGACTACATTTGGTGTATGGAATGGTAGTGGTTCTATACTGTTGCACCATCCCTACCTCGACCAAATTTGCTGTCCCCCATAAAAGGGTCGTCAACAGTTTCGCATTTTCTTTAAGGCACAAGAGTTTGGCGAGGACAACCAATATACTTTGACTACATTTGGTGTGCATTGTACTGTCTCTATACTGTTGCACCTATCCCTACCTCGACCAAATGTTGCTGTCCCCATAAAAGGGTGCAACAATTTCGCATTTTATCATAGGCACGACTACACCATACTACTACGTGCCCATTTCGCTCTTTACCTGGCACCTATCCTACCTCGACCAATTTTGCTGTCCCCCCTAAATATACAAAGAGAGTGCAATTCAACTATCAGCCGCATGGATTCTAAAGACACCTACGTTATATCCTAGTGTCTTCATATGTAATGGTCCTAGTGTGGGCCTTACTATATAGGAGGCTCCACACAGCTGGTTACCATCATGATCCAGGCTTTTCCCAATGTCTGCTCTTATTGTGCAACAATACTATTGCAATGTCGTTTCTCAGTTGAGTGAGTTTCTGAAGCCACTGGACTCGGTCCCACGCAGCAGACGTGGCTGGTACTTTGGAGCTCAGCTCACCGGTCGACCGTCTCTGGTTCGCAACAATGCCGTACCGGGCCCGCCAGACTACCAGACCGTACCGGTCTGTCACGGTGGTGGTCAGAACAAGGCAGCGTTCAACTGCGTCAATCCACGATGGACCGAGAGAGATGAGGACTTTAGAGATCCAGGGTTAGACGCACCGCATTTTTTTTATTAGTTGACTGTGTGGCATCCGTGTACTTAGATATTTTGTCTAACTCATAACGTAAAATATAACTTCATGTATAGTATGCACGTGGAGATTTTTATGACTCGGTCAGAGTAGGGAAAGGGTGTAAGCCACGCACAAGTCTGGTAACGCAACAAATTACATACTTCATCAAAACTGCACTAAAGTTTTATGCTCGGTGTTTCTTTAATTTTGTGTGAATTCAGGGACAACTGTACTAGCTTTTTGGCTATGATTATTAAAAAATAAAACTTTCACCTCCCAATGATCAGTTATATTGATGTGCACTAAGCCCATTCAGAAGCAAGTGAAAATTTCGTGAAGAAAACCATTTTTCAGTCCCACTGGTGTCTGGATTAGAAGGTTCCACTCATGTATAGCCTACTCTACTATGCAGGCCGGGGACATACGAGCACAGTGTGACACAAGGACGTCAGGTGGAAATGGACGAAGCTTTCGGCTACAGCAGAAAGATTCGCAACGGCGTCGTGATGAAGTGCACTAATGGGATCCCAGAAGAGGTGTCTTCATGGCTAGTTTAGTGGTCCAGCTCGGATATAAACCACCAACTATAGGGGCTGCATAGTTTATTCAAGATTATAGAAATACCCGCCAATATCCATGGTGCCAATGCAGGTGCCAGTGCAAGGTTCTGTAAAGTGAATCCTTCATAATTATTGTGAAGTACAGCAACTGGTCTTTACACAAGATGTGAATGTGTGTGCATGACTATCCCCCCTACACCAATTAAAATGCTCGCAAGGATCACTGAGTACGGTAGGACTTAGTATGGTACATAGTGTAATAGTCGTAGCAAGCAAGAGGTGATGCATTCTGCACTATTGCAGTGTAGCTATCAGCAAGAGACAGTTTTTAATGATGCATTCGCAAGCAGGAGATAGTAATCAAAATGATGTATTGTGTCTATTACTATCGCAGTGCAGTCATTGCAAGCAGGAGACGGTTGGAGACTATTTCCAGAGAGGAAAGAAGATCCTCTGCAGCAAATGTCACCAAGAACAAAGGACAAACACAACTTCTAGCAAAAAGTAACAATAATCTGTATGGTTAATGACGGAGAAGAGTTATAAAAAAGTGAGTAGGGTAGCCACGAATGTCACTATGGTGTGTGTTGGTAGTGTCAGTTAGTGCAGATGTAAAATCTTGTGGCTGTATTAATCTTTAACTCAGGGAGGCAAAGTATGAGAAGGTAAGGGATTGCACTGGAGTTCACCATCACAAGTTTCCAGGAAAAGACCCAAAGATCATGGTACAATACACATTACACGATACAATATAGTTTAGCTCACCTCTGTGTGTAAAGCTCTTAAACTGCACTGTGTCGCGGTTCCTACAAAAGGCTTAACTGTAATAATACCTGTCTATCCTTTTGTCCCTCCCAAACACACACACACACACACACATACCACCACCACCACCACCACCCACACACACACACACACCAGTTGAAGAGTGAGAGTGAACTAAAGAAGAAGAGCAGAAAAGAGGCATATTTCAGACTCTATTACTCTGATTAAAACGTCTGGTTACAACTTAGGCATAACTTTTTTTATAATTATGTGATTTAATATTCGATACAATTTACGTGATTTAATATTCGACATGTCGTACATCATTATTCGATTCTTCAGAAACGTTTGTGTCTTCTTTTGTCCCAGTTTTCTCTTTCCCTACTGGGGGTTCAGCCCCTTTAATGAGCAGTTCTTCTTCTGAACGTTGTGCACTCAACAGTCTCTGCTTTGTGCTGTAGAAATCGTGAATCTGAAGAGATCCAAGCCACTGCATCATTCTAGGTTATTTTTTGTGTTAAGGAGATCTCTGTGTTCTAGAGAGGGCTCTACCAACTGAGCTACTGAGGCAGCTCAGCTGGCTGGGCTGAATCACTCATACAGAGCAAGGCAGAGCACTCTGTGTTCTAGAGAGGGCTCTACCAACTGAGCTACTGAGGCAGCTCAGCTGGCTGGGCTGAATCACTCATACAGAGCAAGGCAGAGCACTCTGTGTTCTAGAGAGGGCTCTACCAAGTATAGTCAGCAGTGTAAAAAAGGATACGACATATCATCGATCTCAGTGTCAATGATATTCTGATGTATGAACTGTCTCTTGAACTCATCAACTCTCTCAGTGCATTCCTTCCAGTCCAGTGCCTCGTGGGATCCGTCAGAGCCAAACTTCTTGTTGTAGGCATCGAAAAACACCTGTGTAACCCACCAGTACATTTGAATGGATGCGTCGATCACGAACCACTGTAAGCTAGCATTTACCTAAGTGCACACCGAAACTCCTGAAAGATGTGGTAGGTGGGGACATTATACATTATACATTGAGGAAAAGTGAGTTGGTTTGAATATATACAAGCCAGAGCCCTTTCCACTTGCAGCTATATACAGTACTTGATTACATACATATAGCTGCATGCATCAAGGGATTAGGAATGTTGAATGTGTGCACACAACCTCTCCTGACAGAGTGGCGTGATTGTAAGGACAGTATTCATTGATAGTGCGTGCCTCCCACTCTGTGGACCAAAGCCATGAATATTGTCCTCAGTGGGTTTTTGGGTTGTAACTATGTTTCCGGTTCGGCAAACACTTTTCAACCCAGAGTGCTGCCCTGTCTCCACTCTCTGCGAGA